AATTCCTAAAATATGAACAGTATTCATGAAACCTTTGTGAGATGTCCACTGTTGAGGTTGCCTTATTTTGTTGTTGCTACATGGTGTATATTCTATGAGATTTCTTTATTCTACTGCTCTAATATCTGTTTGGTCCAAGAAAAATTTGCAAGTGCCTCATTTGCCTTTCACAATCATAAAGTTGTTTGAATGTAGTTGCTACAGGAACATTGAACTAGAAAGAGGCTGAGCCGCTGTGGGGATAGGAATGTTTGAATAAAGTGTTAATGTCTTTTAGGATCTGCTTTTTCATACTCAGTACTGCAGCACAGAGAATAATAACTGATTATTAGAAGTTAGAAGACATTAGAATCTCCCTAGAGCTTTAAGACATCCCCCTAGAATAGCCTTTTGTCTGGAACCACTTAATTTAACTCAAAGCTTCTACAGAGCTCTGCATAAGGTGGGGTGCTAGTGGCTGGGGATGAGAAACCAACAAGAAAATCCCTCTGTCCTGGGAGCTTATATTCTCTTGAGCATAGCACACCATGTATCCAGAGAAGCCAGTAAGTGTAATCTGATAAGAGATGAAGCACTAACCACTGGAGAAGGGGCAGGATGATCAGGGAAGGCTTACTAGAGATTAATCCCTCAGCTAAGAGAATACATAAGGTTGGAGTGTTAAGCTTGGGTCACTGACTGAGCACCTTCAATGTCAGATTGACAAGTTTGTATTCTATTCTAGAGCAATAGGGAAACACTATAGGATTTTGATCAGAATAGTGACGTGGCCAGACCTGTACCTCAGGAAGATTATTTTAGTAGCTAGGCTGCTAAAATGACAGGATCAGTTGGAGAGATTTTGGAGTCAGGGATACCAGTTAAGAGGCTACTACATGAATCCAAATGAGAGGTAATAATGGCTTGAGCTAGGATGGCTGCATGAGTAGAGAGAGGGAGCTGGATTCAAGCCTTTTTTGAAGACAGAATCAACACAACTTAACCAACTGTTTGGATTTCAGGTTGAGGGAGAAGGAAGAGTCAATGATGATTCCTAGGTTATGAACCTGGGTGATTGGGAAGATGGTAGTGCTCTCAGTGGAAATAGGGGAGTATGGAAGAGGGGTGGATTTTGTGAAGGTGATCATGTCTCATTTGGCCGTGTTGAGTTTGAGCTGCCAATGTGAGGTATAGGTGGAGATGTCCAGGCAATTGGTAATACAGAACTGAAGTTCAAGGAAAAGGAGAAGCTCAGCCTGGATATATAAATTTGAGGATTAATTGTGTATATCAAGGTGATCATTGAGCCCCCAGGAGTTAATAAGATGATCAGGAAAGAACATGAATAGATGAGAAGCAGGCTTAGGAAAGAACATTCAGGGACATCCACACTTAGGGCATGGCAGAGAATGATATCAGCAATGAGTTGGGAGGAGTTCTTGGACTGGTAGGAGAAAAAGCAGGCTAGAACTAGGGCACAGAAGCCAAAGGAGAGTGCTCTGGAGGAGCAAGTGAGCCCCTCAGTAGCTTTTGATGAGGAATGTGAGGACTAAGAAAAGGCCAAAGGATTGAGCAGTTAGGAGATTGTTGACAACCATGGAGAGAAAAGGTTCAGTTGAGTGGCAGGGTTGGAGTGTAGGCTATAAGAAGCTGAAAAATGAGTAGGTAAAGAGAAAGGACAGGCAATGAGTGTAGACAGCTTTGTGAGAGTTTGGCATTGAAAGCAAGGCTAGATCTAGGATGCATAAACCCAAAGGACTTTAGCCCTTTAGTGACCAAAAGGAAGTTGTAGAGAATGGAATCCATAGGAAAGTGTCATCATGGAGAGCATCATGAAATTCCAGTATTTTTCAGTTGTAGCGCAGCCTAGTCACCATCAGTGATTTCTTTGGTGATGGGAATTCCTGGTAAGGAAACTCTCCATAGGAGTACAAAACCGCAATTGCTCTTTACCTAATAGTCAGAGTTTCCTGGGGCACTAAGCAGTTGGGGTCCTACATCCTATGTTGAAAATAGAATTTGAACCTGGGTCTTTCTAACTCCAAGTTCAGCACTCTATTGATTATGCCATACTTCCTCCATATGCCTCCATTATAGATATACATTACCAATGAGCCAAGTACATTTGGAACTACAGTTACTTCTTAGATTCTTTTCTGGTACCTTAAATGTCTTAATAGTAAAAAAAAAAAATGAGTGTACCTCCAAAAAAATGAACAAGCATCTTCCTGTTCAGAGTAAGGAGCTTTGCATGTATTCGCTTTTTACAAAAAAATATTTTTAAAGAAAAGGGTTAATTTACCATTGGAACTAATTTGCTTTTTAGTTTTCTTAAGCTTGAGAACAGTTCCTTCGGAATATGTTTTTGAAGTTCACTATGTTATTTTGGTTAGGTTTTTGTTATAGAAATATTTTCTTTAGGACAAAGAAATATTTTCCAAGAAAGAAAGGGAAGGTCTTGGAGTAACTATTTGAATATTACTTGAATTAGTCACCCTGGATTCTTATTTTCTCTCATTTGTTGTATATTCTTGTTGATATGGCCAAATCTCATTTGTGCCTCAATTTTTCCATGACAAAAAATGGGAAAGGTAATATTTGTTTGTAATCATGTGAAATCCTTTGAAATTGTTAGTATTAGAAATCCAATTTCTAGTAAAAAAAATTGACACCTCAGGTATAATTAAAGCATCAAAGGTTAAAGCACATTCAAAGACTTCCAAAGAAGATTCAAAACACAGAGGATTTGGTAGCAAAAGGCAGCTCTCTCAGTGACTACCTAGAGGACCTTGTGGAATCAGTCAACAAGTCCTTACTAAAAGCCTACTCTAAATGGTGTGCTATGTTAGGCACTGAGTATGCCAAGAAAAAAGCGAGATAGTCCATGGCCTCTAAGACTTTATAGTGTAGTTGGGGGAGATGCACACATGGGTGTGTGTGTGTGTGTATAATCACGTCATTTTGGACGGAGAGTGCTGGTGCCTAATGAGATTGGGAAAAGCATTACGTGGCACATGAGCTGAGCCTTGAAGGAAACCAGGGATTCTGAGATGGTCAGGCAGGGAGTCGCAATGCATTTCGGTGAAGATCTTTTGTGTATGATGGATGCCATTGGCAGTGTCTAGGGAAGCCTATGGACCCTTTCTCAGAATAATGGCTTTTGGTGCAAAAAATAAAATACATACCCTTACAAAGGAAACCACCTATATTGAAACACAGCTATCAAAATTATAATAATAACAACAACAACAATGATGATGATGATATTGATAATAGTTCACAGACCTCTGCAGAGGATGACATTGACACCTTTTCCCTTGGAATTAGTAATATACCTTAGTGCTTTAGTAACAGATAGCATTTATAGAGCCCTTTAAGGTTTGCAAAGTGCTTTATATGTTATCTCATTTGATCTTCACAACAACCTTGTGAGATTGGTGCTATTATTACCCCCTTTAACAGATGAAGAAACTGAGGCTGAGAGAGGTTAAGGGACTTGGTCAGGATCACACAGCTAGTAAGGGTCTCCTTCCTGAAAATGTGTTGCCTGCCTTATAGACAGAGAGTAAGTAGCTGTCTTTTTTTTTCTGTCTTTTGTTTATTTAAAAATCTATATTAAGTATTACAATATTAACAAATCATTCTTTTCTATTTTCCTTCTTGGATTTAAAATCAATTCTATGTATGTGAAAAAGTAAGCAAGGAAGATGCTACTCCTAAATAGATTTAGTAAAATCTTCTTATGAAAACAAATTGCATTCTTCATTGGCTATGTTAATGTAAATATTAATTTAAAGACTTCCGATGATAGCTCATTAGATCAAATTAGTTATATCTTGGTTCATTAGTATTATTTTATTGCAAGGTTTCCATTTATTATTATCTCACTACTAAATCTTTACTAAAGTCCAAGTCAGCTTCCTCATCGTGACTTGAAGGTGATGCTAGCCAAGCATAGATTCTGACATGTGCTACCAAGCTGGAAAGGCTGCTGGTCAGCTTCTTATGATAAGACTGTGCATCTGTCATCAGAGGACCAGCCTAATTAAATACAGAGGAGCTCTTTACTAGAAGATTGGCCCCTAGGTTAAGGTTAATTTCTTGGGACACAGCTTAATTTCATAGAACACAACCAACTGAAGCATGGGAGGTGTTGTCATCATGATTGTTAGAGGGAGTACATGCTTTATCCAAACATGGATAAAACAATAGATTTTGGATGCATTAACATAACAGGTTAAAATTCCCTGAAGTCTCCTATTTTAGGAAGTGCTTTAGGATGCACATCTCAGCTTTTCATAAATATTCTTCTTAACATTAATGAAAAAAATGGAGCCTTGACTGAACTTAGACCAAAATGGCTTCCTTATTCAGATTTGGCAGTGACATTGACCAATAAACTTTTTTTCATGTATCATTCATTATTCTGGCATCTTATCTATCCTATTATCCCTGCAGTATTGAAAGTTAGAATATTTTGCAAAAGTTAGACTTTCTAGAGTTTTATTTTGTTTTTTTTAGTAGCTAAAAAAAAGTCGACAGAAAACATAAGCATTGATCTATGTGTATTCTGAGACCTAAGAAAAGTCAGACTCCAAGCATAAAATGCTTTTAATTGCTTCTTTTAAACATTTTCCTGTGTATCTGTAGCCAGAGAACTCTGAATATGTAGGCAGATATAATATAAGAATAATATAGGACCTAGTAGGACATAAGTATAAACTATGGACCTAACAGTTTGTAAAAACTTTGCAAAACTCCTATGAATGGAAAAAAATTTCATAGATTGAATTAGCATTTCAGCATTATTGAAAAATATTTATGACTTTAGGTCCATTAACAATGTTTAAAGAATACTTGTAAATGGTTTTTCATATATCTTGCAAAGATTAGTAAGTTTAAGTTTTTATTTTAAATAAATCACATAAAGAACCACAGTTCTTACTGACTCCATTGTTCTTTATATCAAATTTGTTTGCTTTTAATGAGTTTGCACATTCAACTGTTTCATTTTTTTCCAGGAGATTTTATGAAGATGGAGCAATTGTCTTGGGTGAAGAAGCAAATATGCTTGCTGGCATGCTGCTTGGACTCAATGCTATTGATTTCAGGTATTTTTTTCTGTCAAGTTCTATATAGCTTTTAATACTTTCCCATATAATTTTTTCAACACAATGGGTCCTACTTTTATTTTATTGGTTTTAGTTTACACGTATGCAAAGGGATTTATATTGTTTGAATTTTGGGGGGAGATGGTGGGAGGAGGGTCTAAACCTGTGATTTCATCAAGGTAGGGAACTCCTTGTGTGAAAATAATAATAATCTATAAATAACATTTATGTAGTGCTTACTCTGTGTCAGGTACTGGCACATAATAGGTGCTTAATAAATGTTTATTGATTGATTATTATTATTTCATTTGATCCTCACAGCTACCCTACAAAATAGATGTTGTTATCATCTCTATTTGACAGATGAGGAAACTGAGGCAAATAGCTAGAGTCACATGGCTAGTAAGTATATGAGATCAGCTTTGAACTTGGGTCTTCCTGATTCCAGGTCCAGCACTGTATCCATTGTGCCATCTTGCTTCTCCAAATGGTAGGCTTGGGTTCAAGTCCTGTCTCTAACACATACCACCTTTGTTACTATGAGAAGGTCACTCAGCTTCTTAGGGCTCCAAACAACTCTTGAGACTTTAGGTTATGTATGAGATTCCAATCTTCACTAGTGGAAAGAGTTTCTTAACCAGGAGTTTCCTACCTTTTTTTTTTCCTGAGGCATTTGGGGTTAAGTGACTTGCCCAGGGTCACACAGCTAGTAAGTGTCAAGTGTCTGAATTCACATTTGAACTCAGGTCCTCCTGATTCCAAGGCTGGAGCTCTAACCACTTCGCCACCTAGCTTTCCCAGGAGTTTCCTACCTTGATGAGATCTCAGGTCTAGTTCAAAAATTAAATTCTTAATTGAACCTTAATTTGTATAGATAGCATTAAGTAGCGTAATTCTTCAAAAATAATAACTTTCTTCAGAATATCTTACTTTTATTTAAGATTGAAGTAAGCCTATGAAATATATAGAAAGATTTATCTAAAGAGAGCACATTGGCATTCTTATAGAAATAATTTTTCAAAATCCAGTAAAAGAAAAATGAAAATATAGCTCCAAACCAAAAGAATGCTTGTGCGGTTTGATTATTTTTTCAGTAAGGTACTTTTTATGCTATAGAATCCTCCACTGTGTGAAATGACTTGTCAATAAAGTTTAGAAGTGTGTCTTTTGAAGTTTTGGTTGGAAACAACTGAAAATGACTTAAAACAAACTTTATTCCACCATCAATCTGACAACAAAATCAAATTATCAAGCTAGACTTCCTCTTTTAATTTCTTGTTTTAATGTAAAACACTTATTGATTGTCTCTATTATCTTAGTTTCTGCCTGAAGGGAGAGGGATTGGATGGCAACTTCCCAGCTGTCATAGATTATACACCATATTTGAAGTTTACCCAAAGGTATCTTATCTTTTCAACTATTTTGCTGTATTGAAACCTTCTTTTACATGTTTATAGCTTGTATTTATTTCTTGAGATTTATGTTAATCTAATAAATTTTCAAATGCCTTTGATAGCCCGTAGTAGTCAAGAAACTGTGAATATTCATATCTCCTTCCTTTGTAAAATTACAATAATTAAATGACTGTTATAGACTGGTCTCGAATAGTAGTATCATTATTACTTCATTAAAAATCAATTAATCTTTTATATCAATTCATCTACATGCATGTAGAACCAGCTGATCACTTTCCAAATAGTATGACTAGGGAACCATGATCATACCAAAGTTGCTTACCCCAAAACTTTGTCTTATCAATCAGTAAATATTTATACCATATCTTTCCTTTATTAGCTATTGTTAACGTTTGTGGTGCTTGTGTTGATCAGGTCACTGTTACAAAATGAGTTTCCTATTATCTCCTCTAATATTGTACTCAAGTATTTTTAATAAAATTGTGTTGCAAATTGAAAAAAAAACCCAATTAATCCAAATTTTCATTACCAACATAATACTGTTAAAAACACCATAATGAAAAGATAAAATCAAATCAACCCTGACAATGATCATAGGGTCATAGATGTTGGGCTGGAAAAAACTATAGCTATCATCAAGTCTAACCCCCCATATTACAGATGAGGAAACTAACCGCTAGAGCTGAAGCCAACCAACAAGCATTTATTAAGCACTTATTATATGACAAGAACTATGCTAAGCACTGGAGATTATAAAGGAAGGCAAAAATGTCCCTGCCCGTAAGTCATTTACATTCTATTGGCTTGGTCAGGGTTCCCCATCTTTTAAGGGTCTGAAGCAAGTTTTGCTGAGTCCAAGGCCATCATTCTAGCCATTACACTGATGTCACAGATCAAAATCAAAGAGGGATGGTACATACCTAATAGATGGGGCAGGGGATTAAAATCATAACATAATAATGACAATAAAATGGGAAGAACATACATTTACCAGCATATCAAACTAAACTTAAATAAGATACTGTAAAATGTGTTTTATGAGCATAGTAGCATCCTAAACAAAAGTAAGCAATCTTTCGTTACAATATAAACTCCTTAAGGGCAAAGATGCCACAAAGCCCATAAAACACATCTAATTTTCTCATTTGTTCCATTTTCTTTTGGACAGTAATTTTCCAGGCAAACATTATACAAATAGTTAATGGATATTCCTGCTGTTCTTCCTATAATAATGCCTGAGCATTGATGTTGGTAAACATTAGACTCATCTCTGTTCCTATTGGCCAGCATTGTGGTATTCCAAAGTAGTAATATTAAAAACATATTCCTTGGATTTTTTCCCTTTGGGATAACATCATGTTTCTTAGAACTTGTCATTAAATACCTGAGTTCATTTAACTGAGGTGAAAAAAGAATACATGAGAGTAATTGGAAATTTGCTTAGAGCAATTAGTAGAATTGGAGCAGGGCCAGTTATCTCGTGATAGACACACATTATTGAATTGATGCATTTAAGAAGAGGAAATATATGTTGGCTTCATTTGCTTTCATGGGCCACTCTGCATGCCCATTTTTTATAATTGAAAGCAGTTTGATTTCTTTCCAATATTATAGTACTTCCTGTCACAATTTGTCATAGACTATGAAAACGGACAACATATATTTTCACAATATGGTAAAATCCTTTTTCTAGGTGTGCACTGCCTTGCTCACATTCATCCAAAGCTTTAGAGCCTCTTCCCACTAGGTCTTTAGCTCAAGTCTCCAAAGATGAGAAGTTTTGACTTGGGTTCGGAAATATTTTTTATAAACAAACCAAAGCTATATAGTATGGATTTTTCAATTTCAAAAGTTAATTTTACATTCAAAGGTTGTGTATAAATAATATTTATTTGTTTATAATGTTTTATATTTGTAGTTCTGATAGCATCAGCAGTGATGAAGAAGAATTAAGGACTTTGGGAAGCAGTGGTAGTGAAAGTAGTACTCCAGAGAATATTGGTCCTCCTTTTATCATGGATGAAAATAGTTGGTTCAACAAGTGTAAGAGAGTTAAACAGAAGTATCAACTTACCCTGGAACAAAAGGTACTTAACCAATTCTTCAGAAATTAATACGATTCTTTACCTCAGCCTAAATTTATTTTAGTAATATTTCCCACGATTACATGTAAAAGTTTTAACATTCTTTTTTAAAATTTTGGGCTCCAAATTTTCTTCTTTCCTCTCCTTCCTTCCCTCCTCCCTGAGACAGCTAGAATTTGATATAGGTAATACATGTACAATCATGCAAAACATTTCCATACTGGTCATATTGTGAAAGAAAACACAGACCAAACAAAAAAAAAAAAAAAGAAAAACTAAGTGACAAATAGTATGCTTTGATGTGCATTCAGACTCCATCAGTTCTTTCCCTTGGAATTGTCTTGGATTGTTGTATTGCTGAGAATAGCTAAGTCATTCACAGTTGATCATTATACAGTATGGCTCTCGTGGTGTACAATGATCTCCTGCTTCTGCCTACTTCACTTTGCATGAGTTCATGTAAGTCTTTTTGGGGTTTTCTGAAAGCATCCTGTTTGTCATTTCTCATAGCACTATCATATTCCATCACAATCGTATACCATAATTTGCTCAGCTATTCCCCAATTGATGGGCATGCCCTTAGTTTCTGGTTCTTTGCCACCATAAGAAGAGCTGCTATAAATATTTTTGTACATGTAAGTCCCTTTCCCTTTTCTTTGATCTCTTTGAGATAGAGACCTACTAGTGGTATTGCTGGATCAATTGTTTGGATTTTGGATATCAGTGGATCAATTGCTGGATCAATAACACAGTTTGGTAGTCCTTCGGGTTTAGTTCCAAATTGCTGTCCAGAATGGTTAGATCAGTTCACAACTCCACCAATGATGCATCAGGGTCCCAATTTTCCTGCATCCCCTCCAACATTTGTTATTTTCCTTTTCGGTCATATTAGCCAATCTGATAGGTGTGACGTGGTACCTCAGAGTTGTTTTAATTTGCATTTCTCTAATCAATAATGATTTAAAGCATTTTTCATGTGACTATAGATAGCTTTCACTTCTTCATCTGAAAACTGCCTATTTGTTTTGTTTGACCATTTATCAGTTGGGAAATGACTTGTATTCTTATAAATTTGACTCAGTTTGCTATATATTTGAGAAATGAAGCCTTTATCAGATAAACTTGCTGTAAGAAAAATTTCCACAGCTTTCTTTCTAGTTCTTATTTTCATTTGTTCAAAGCCTTTTTAATTCAATATAATCAAAATCATCCATTATGTATATCTTGTAATGCTATCTCTTGTTTCTCAGCCTAATTTCAGTGTTGTTATTGTTCAGTTGTTTTCAGTCATATCTTCATGAGCCCATTGAGGGTTTTCTTGGCAAAGATACCAAAGTGGTTTGCCATTCCTTCTCCAGATCATTTTACAGATGAAGAAACTAAGGCAAACAAGGTTAAATGACTTGCCCAGGGTCTCTCAGCTAGTAAATGTCTGAGCCTGGATTTGACCTCAGGTCTTCTAACTCCATGCCTGGCATTCTATCTGCTGCACCTCCTAGCTGCCAATAATTTCTTTAGTACTTGCTTAAAAGAGATTTTAATAAAATTATCTTTTAATTTCTTTCTTTTGGTATTCTTTTTGTTCCTTCTAATTAAGAATGTAGGAGTTCATCACCATATTGGTTAGACTTTTATTGTTTGACAATTCCTAATTTAGTGCCATAACTTAATCTTCTTTTCTTCCACTTTCTGTTTATTAATATTCATAGAACACAGAATCTAGAAAGGCTCTTTAAGGTCCTCTAGCCCATTCTCCTTATTTTACTGATGTAGAAACTGAAGTTTAAGCACATAGATAATGATTGGCAGCTCTAATTCCATACGGAGGGCTTTTTCCACTCTTGTGTGTTTGTGATTTTAATCTGTGTCGGTATATGTGACATTTGTTGGATTTAGATAAGGCAATAAAATTATGTAACTACTTTTCTAACACAGTGAGGTATGTGCACCTGTTGCTTATTTTCAATTTATTGATTTTTAAATAAAGCTTTTATTGGTGTCTTTTGTTTTTAAATAGCCTGAATTTCCACACTATCCTTGCTTCCTGGAGAGTCATCTCATATAGCAAAGAATGTTTTTTTTTTAAAGAAAAAAGAGGAAAAAAGAGGGAAAAAAATCTGTGAAACCAAACAATGCAGATAAAAACTGAAAATATGGGCAATATTCTACAATCTGCAAAGAAAAGGGGGAGACATCTTTTTACATCCTTTCTCTGGGGTCATGCTTGTTCTTTATGATTTTTTTCCCGTAAATTACTTTTGATTATTTTGTTTTGTTTCTGTCCATTTACGTTACTAATTTCTTGGCTTTGCTTTCCTTAAATCCACTAAATCTTTCAGTGTTTGTCTGTATTCATTATATTCATCATTTGTTATAGCACAATAATATCCCACTACATTCATGAACCGCATTTTGTTTAACCATTCCCAACTGGTGAGCATTTTGCTTTGTTTCTAGTTCTTTGCTATCACCCAAAGTGATATATAAATATATATTCTCTCTATATATATATTTCTATAAATTCTATAAATATTCTGTCATACATGGGGACTTTATTTTTACTAATGACAATTCATTTACTTATTGAGCAACTTTTCTACTAACATTCTATTCTATTGCCTCATTGTAGTGTGGAGGTAAGCATCAGTTCTCATTTGTTATAACAGTGAAATTCAAGCTGTGGCAGGTAATACTAAGCTAGAAACACTTCAGATCTAGCTCTGTGCCTGGTGATGGATTATTTCCATATTATTGGAAGACTAGCCTCCTAATATCAAAGGGTCTCATTACCAAAGGTCTGGCCACTAGGCGATGACTTATTTTGGCCATAGCAACTCCCTTGTGTTTAGCACAGTACCTGGCACATAGTAGGAGCTTAATAAATACTGACTTACAGAGGTAGAAGAAATTTCCATATTGATGTATTCAGTGATAAGTTAGGTGCAGTGGGACATATGAAAGTAGTAGACACAAGTTACTTCCTCTGGAGCACTTTGCTGTCTAATTGCTTTCTGCTACTTCCACTTCTTCATCTGCTCTCCACAACTCCCAACTTCTTGCCTCACATGTTAAAGCTAAGTGAATAAAGCATTTCCTATTCTCCATACCAAACCATGTTATTATATATCTATATATATCTATATCTATATCTATCTATATCTCTATATATCTATATACACACATATACATACATACAGAGAGAGAGAGCCTTTCTCGAAGTCACTGGACAAACTGATTGTCATTCCTTTGTGTGCTAGGATAAAGTATAGGTTCACATGTCCCAGTTTTTCCTTCTTTAGACTTCTGCTCTCATTCATAAATTGAACTTATTACTCTGGGCACTGAAAAAGAAATTTAAAATATTGTAACAGTGTTTGCTGATGGCAATGTTCTTCCACATAGGAATGAGGATAAGGGGAAGACTATAGGAAGACAAGATAAGAGAGCTTGTTGGAAGCAGTGTGATATCTCTTGTCACAGGTCCAGTTGGCAGCCTCTCAGGTTCTTAGGATTCTCACACACTTTTTTCCCCTTGTTCTTTGTAAATATCTTTGAAAGGGTCTAGGGAAACCCACGTTGGGCTCTTTCTTTACACAAACTCTCTTGGGCCACATAATATCGTGGAGTTGATGCACCTTCCAAATTAGCTTATAGTAGTAATAATAATGATAATAGCTGGCATTGATATAGCATTTTGAGGTTTGGAAAACTCTTTTATGGAGGCAGGGTGTCCCAAAAGTCTTAGTGCGGGTTAAGCTTTAATATCTTTACATTGAACTAAGACTTCTGGGAAACTCTTATTATCTCACTTGAGCCTCAAAACAACCCTGAAAATTTGGTACTTTAGGTATTATTATCTTCATTTTACAGATGAGGGAATTGAGGGCTTAAGTGATTTGTCCAGGGTCGCACAACTAGTAAGTATCAGAGGTCTTCCTAATTCTAAGGCCAGTGTTCTCAGCACTGTACTATTCTGCCTCTCAAACACAGGTTTATTTGACTTGTCACACAGAAATAGCTCTTAAGTGGACCTTCTGCACACCTACAGATATGTGTGAGTATAACCTAACCTAGAGGTGCTGTAAAATCCTGAAGCCCCTTCTAAGGCATGGGAAAGATTAGATTATCTAAGTATAGTTTGGATGTTAAGTATCTTTATTATGTTCTAAGACTAACAGAAAGTTGGCTGTGCACAGTGTACGCAGATGAAAACCCTTTAATATTTGAACAACCAGAAGCTCATCCCCGGACCACGTTTGATGATAGGGAGTTTCCTGTAGCAGGGAGTGACTCAGGCAGAAGAATGTCAGGAGAAGGAGTGGCTGTCCTAGATGTTGGGAAGAAGGAGGAATCCAGGAAGAGGATACCACAGTACTTTTAGGGAGTGCCTGCTTTCCTACCTCAAATGTTCTTGAATGTGACTTCCTTGAAAAACAACGGTCTCATTACTTCATATTCTAGCTCCACTGAATCTGGAAGAAATTCCAGGTGTGTTTCTTTAGGTTGCAGCTGCTGTGGACATCAAAAATATAGGTAGACCATTGGCCTTTGGGTATCTGGAGATAGAAACTGCTGCAATTTTAGTGTTTAATAAGATGTTATTCTGAACTTTAAAACAGATTTTTCCAGGGTCAGTATGGCATAGAGGACAGGAAATCAGTCTTGAACTAGTATAGGGAGGGCATTTTGGTCTCACTGGCTACCAGAGCAAGGCTGGCTACATCTCTCTCTCCAGGTTACAGTGGTGTTCTGAGCAGCTTTTGGTGTGTCTTCTCCGATGCCATTAGCTGAAGCCCCTCTTGGTTATGTGTTCCCCACTGGTAGCTGCCATTGACTAGTGTTTCAGTTCCATTTAACTACCTAACATCAAATAGTTATATTTACTTTGAAGATTTGGCAAGAACATAGGTACAAAACATTTTCTCCCAACACCTTGAGGGCACATTCTCTCCTATTTGACCTTGGTTTCTAGGAAGAAGGAGCCCACATTTAGCACAATTTCTATATGGAATCTGTGAAATGGTCTCACCCAGTTCAGTTCCAAATGGGGGCAATACTGCTAGATGAATCCTTGTATTTGTGACCACTGGGCTGTCTCCTGAAACTCACTCCTTACTCTTTGGAATATTAAGCTGGGCTGCATGCACTTCGACTCCAAGAAGCTCATTCTCCTGACTCACGTTCAGAGCCTCCAAATTAATCTCCTTGACCTAAAATGAAAGAACAAACTTTGGGGCAGACAAAGACCCCAAGCCTGTTCCCATGAAGCCACATATCAGCCTCAGAGAAGAGAAGGCCCATACATGCCAAAATATTTAAATCAGAACTTTTTGTGAAAGCAAAGAATCAGAAATAAAGTAGATTTCTACGCAATCAAGAATGGCAAAACAAGTCATGGTCCATGAATGGAATGGAATAATATCACTATGTTGTAAGAAATTATAAATGCAGAGAAGCATAGAATGATCTACATAAATTAATGAAGACTGAAGTAAATAAAGCCAGAAAAAACCATATACAATAATTACAACAATGTAAATAGAAAGAACAACCACACACAAAAGAAATCAAAAGTGAATGTTGCAAAACTAAAAAGAAAAAGCATGGCATGAAAGAAGGAATATGACAAGACACTCCCACTTCTTTGCAGAAAAAAAGGAACATATTTTCAGACTTTAAAATTTAAAGATCAGTTATGCTGATTTTCCCCTTTTTCTTTTTATTTGTCTTTAAAATGTTATTATATGGTATAACTCTCAAGAAAGGAGAGGGGGAATACTGGGGAAAACAATAGTAATGTAAAAAGCAAAAGATATTCCTAAAAACTTATTATTTAAAAAAGTTGAATTCAGAAATTGTGACCAAAAAAAACCAAAAAAACCTCCCCAAACTCACTTTGCTAGTAAAACGTATTTTAAAGGTATGGATACTCCCTCCAGTGGTCTAGGTTATAACTCTCCTATACCTTGTTGTAGACATATGGAAGAAATTTGTGCTGGAGACATTATAATTTTATTTGTTTTATTTTACCTTTTTAAAAAATTCTGAACTTAAACATCAAATAAGATGAGCATTTCCATTTACAAAGCAGAATAGAAAAAGAGGACTGAATATGTATCTATACCATGTATAGCTAGGTAAGGTGTGTGTATATATACATATATACATATATGTATATGTTTGTATAGCTAGGTAATATATACATATATACATACATATATACATATACATATATATACACACATATATACACATACATATATACATATACATATATATATGTGTGTATGTATATATATATATACATATATATGTATGTATGTATGTGTATATATATATATATATGTTTTTGGTGAGGCAACTGGGATTAAGTGACTTGCCCAGAGTCACACAGCTAGTGAGTGTTATGTGTCTGAGGCCAGATTTGAAATCAGGTCCTCCTGACTCCAGGGCTGGTGCTCTATCCATAGGCAGTATTTTAAAGGAATTTAGGGCTTGATTTTCAAGATATCTCAAAAAGGAGACAACTTCAAAACAATGGATCGTGTCCCACCCACCCCTCCCAGAAAAGGTGACCAAAAAGACAGTGACAAGTGTTAAACAATTCATAAAACTTATTTCTCTTCTTTTGAAAATCCTATGAGAATGGCCTATGTATTCATTTAGTGTGTTCTTGGTCAACATGTGAGATAGATATAGGTGTGATTTCATATACCATTTTCTAAAGCCATTGATCTAAAAGGTGAAGAATATAAAATCCTATCATGAGTATTGTTTATTGATTTTTTAGATTACATTATCCTGTTTATTGTGTATTTAATCAGTAAGTATTTATTAAATATTTACTTTGTATCACTTACACTGTTCTAGGTGCTGAGGATGCAAATGCAAAGAATAAGACCATCTATGGCAGCCAGGTGGTGCAGTAGATAAAAAGATGCATCTTCCTTAGTTCAAATCCGGCCTTAGACACCTACTAGCTATGTGACCCTGGGCAAATCACCTAACCCTGTTTACCTCAGTTCCCTCTTCTGTAAAATGAGTTGGAGGGAGGAAATGGCAAATCACTGCAGTATCTTTGCCAAGAAAACCCCAGATGGGGTCATGAAGAGTTGGACTACAACTGAACAACAATAAAACCATCTATACTCACATCTCTCTTCTAAAGGGGGAGGGGTGGAGAATTGTTGAGCGATAGATAGATAGATAGATAGATAGATAGATAGATAGATAGATAGATGAATGGGAAAAAAATTGTGCCAGGAAGTATACTTAGTGTCAGTGATACTGATGCAAGTGAGCAAGACAGCCCTTGCCATTACGGAGCTCACATCCCTATGGGGGAAGACAATATAGAAAGGGGAGCTGGAAATTATGTTGGGGGAGAGGACGGCAAAATTTATATCATGGCATGGCTTGAAGATGACTGGTAAGTGAGGTAGCGGTCTGGATCTGGACAAGATAAGGCAAAAACTCACCTTTAAGATCACGTGATGCCAGGAGTAGAGTACAAGTTCTGGTCAGGAATAAGAAAAAGAAATACTTAACTCAGTAGAATAAAATAATGATTGTTATCAGTCTCAAACAAGGTGTCCTCTACACATCTATTAAAAGCAATGCAATATTGTGCAATATAGTGATAACTTTGTTCAGTGACTTTAAGCCAGTCATAAAACAGGGAGACATACTCCTTCAAATGTTTACCAGTTTCATAGAGGCTGTCCAAATTGAAGGTCAAATTGAAGGCTAGTGAATGTGTACCACCTCATGAAAGGTGTTTGTTTGCCGCTGTGATGGAGGAGATCCAGGAGAGACCAAGTTGGAGAGAGATTTCCTGTGGTGATCTGGTCTTCAAAATGCTCCTATTTATAGATAATGTCCTGGCAGCATCCCCAGTAAAAATTAATATTTATTAGTTATAAATTTTAATAATTATTATTTGAAAGCTATTAGGTTAGCCATACATGTTTAGAAAACAAAGTGGTTGAAAAAATGCATATTGCCCAGATTGTGGCATGCAGTTGCATAGACAACAATGATCCATTTAAACAATCAACAAACATTTATAGTCCACTGAGTCAGTCCATCAATTTGTATATCTTGGATGGAATGATTTTAATAATTCGAACTGCTTTTTGCCTTAGAAGTAAGCCTCTTTAGCAATAATGTTCTGCAAGGGATGCTGTGTGGCTATAAATTATGGTACACCACAATCTCTGAAGTCACAATAAGACGTAACCCTAAGGGTAATGGATTCACAGTTTGAGTAAGTAGACCACAGCCTATTCTTTAGAATGACGTAGTGTGGAAGGAGTTGTGTGTAAAGAACATTGTTAAGGATATATGTGACCAGAAAATGGACAGATATGTCTGTCATGGAGTGAGAGTAGAAGCAATAGTTGGATATCTTGAGGTAACATATTTTCATATTATATTTTTGAGAATTTTCCAAGTGCCAGGTGGCTCTGTTGGGCAGTGTTACAAGGGGGTAGGTTTCAGCTTAGTAAAAAGAAAAAAAAATGTAACAATTACAACAGCCCAATGAAGTAGTAAATGCTCCATCACTGGAGGTATTCAAGAAGAGTTTAAATGACTACTTGTCTGGTATTTCTCCAATGGATTCATGCATTGCATAGGATGTTGGAGTAGATGAGATCCAAGGTCTCTTCCAGCTAATAATTCTGAGATCATTGAGGGTAGGGTTTTGTAAACTATTTTGTTATCAAATATAAATACTATACTTTAAAATGTTTTCATAATATTGAGACCAATATGCCAGCTATTGGAAGGGTGCCAAAGAAATGTTCCATTATGTTGTCCCATTGTTGTTACAGTGAGCTGTGTTGGTGTTGCTCTATTTCCAGGGCTATCTTGAAGAACTGTTAAGACTTCGAGAGAACCAGCTGGCTGAATCTGTTTCTCAGAACAAGTTATTGCTTCAGAGGATTGAAGATTCTGATTTGACCCACAAATTAGAGAAGGAGCAGTTGGAGTACATTATTGTGGAACTACAGGACCAGCTGTAAGTGACAACCTTAAAAACATCCCCTCCCTCCCTCCCCCACAGATGCACAGCCCCCCAAAATCTCTGGTGGATGTCAAAGTCAGTCCCTGTTCTTTTCTTTGTACCATGTGGGGCAAATTCCAGCTTGCTTATTATCTAAGTGCCAAGGTGGCTGGGTGAAATTCTTTATTTCAAAATCATATTTGAAGATTGTTTTAATTTATTTTTTTTATTTCTGAATTTAAAGTCCCCTCAAAAGGAGCATTTCCAGATACACAATAGAACCCCCCAAATGAGTTCAGTTTATGAAACTGTGGCTCTGCATTTCATACCATTTGTTTTTATTAGAAAAAAAAGCATATAATGAATTCCATGTTACTTTCAACACTTCTGTCTGTTTGTGCTTCCTTCTGAACTTCCTTTGTTCTTTCCTGTGCATTTTCATCTGGCCATGAGGACAGTTCATTTCGTAAAAACACAGGGAAGCTTCTGTCCTGTAAATTGTTTCTTTCTTCAGGTTGCTTCAAATAAAATTTTTCTCATTTTTAAGAGTTTTTCTTGGATGTGCCAAGCGAGATCTGTGCTGGGCTTTATTGATTAATCCACCTCCCTGTCCTTAAATGATAAAGAAAGAAACAAATATTTAGAGAGGAAAAAAAACCCCTTAAATATATCATGTGGCCATTTTATCGAATTCTGTTACTTTTCATCCATTTTCTTGGTTTTATATAACACTTAATCAATTTCTTCATCTATGACATGAGAAGGTTGGAGCACATGATCTTTGAGGTCCCTTCTGGCTCTAAAATTCTTTGCTTATAGATAGTGGGTTTTCCTGAAGTCTCCTAAACAGAAAGAAATTAACTAATTGGATACTATTGGGAAGTGAACTTAATTTTTCCTTGTATCGATGAAATATGTATTTTGTCTGACTGGGTTTTTTTTTAACTAAAGTATAACATAGGAATTTTTAAAAAATATAAACTAATTCAAATTACCTTTATCAAATTTGACTTTTTCATTTAAAAAATTAAATTCTGAAACCATGAAAGTTACCCACCACCTTGTTGGTTATTTGTTTACAGGTTTGTAACTTGTTCTTTTTTGTTTTCTTTTTTTTTTTAAAGGTAGAATCATTAAATTTAGAGACAGAGCAGGGTAAAGACCTGAGTTCAAGTGCTGGCCTCTGATATATACTGACTGTGTGACCCATGGCAAAATCACTGCTCTATGTCTTATCCAGCTTTGTAGGACTTAGCTCCTAAATCAGATAGAAGTTGCAATCTGCTTTGGTAGAGAGAGTTTCTATACTTGGAATTGATAATACTGACAAAAATCAGTAAACCTTGGTGTATTATTCTATTTAGAAATTACTATTGCCACAGCTAGGTGGCGGAGTGGATAGAGCACAAGTCTGGAGTCAGGAAGACCTGAGTTCAAATCCAGCCTCAGACACTTAATAGCTGTGTGACCCTGTGACCCTGGGCAAATCACCTAATTAATCCTAATTGCTTAGAAGAAAAAAAAGGAAAGAAAGAAAAGAAAAGAAGTTACTATTTAATGCTTGTTGTTGTGTTTAACACATAGTTGTTGATGTTGAGTCATTTCCGTCATATCTGATTCTTTGTGACCCCATTTGGGCTTTTCTTGGCAAAGATACTGGGGTGATTTGGCATTTCCTTCTGCAGCTCACTTTACAGATGAGGTTGAGTGACTTGCCCAGGGTCACACTGCTACTAAGTGTCTAAGGCTGGATTTTGTTAAGGGCTGAACTTGTCTTTTTGAGTTGCCATATTTTCCAAAACATTAGATCCAGAGCATGCAGGAGACCCTGACGAAGGACAAAGCCCCTCCCCACCCCAGCTGACATAATTTGTTGTTTGCACCTCAAGCTGGACTCCCTGTGTGTCCTTGGGAGGCAAGACAGGTGCCCAACCAGTCTATGCCAAGCTGGAAAAATGCCTGTGCAGCTGGGGTCCTTTACAGATAAGCCAACCCTCTATTTTCATAGTCTCGTGGTTCCCAAGGGAAAAGAATCTGGCCTTGCTCCTCCCTTTCAGGAGGGGTTTTGTCCTTTTCCCCACCTTTCCCCTCCTATGCCATGCCCCTTCCAGTCTTCTCCTTTTGTTGTACTGTCATAAATATGCAAACTTCTGTAAGGATTGTGAACCCTTGGGGTTCCACGTGCATGTTCATTTCTCTTGTAATAAGCCTGGTTTTCATTTAAGTCTCATGACATTGTGATTGTCTGTTGACAATTTGAACTCAATCCTCCTGACTCCAGGCTCAGTGCTCTATCTACTGCACCACCTAGCTGCTCTAAGACACATAGTAGGCACTTGATAAATGCTAGTTAACTTGACTTTCTTTTTATTTTATTACTATTTTTATGATTTCATTAATGTAAGGAGGTCCTCCATGAGAAACTTTTTCTACAAATACAGATAGGCTCCTGTTCTACAACTTAGTCTCAGAGCCATCTTGGCGCACACAGAGGTTAAATAAGTGTCTTGACCAGAGTTACACAGTAGGTGTCAGAGACAGGACTTGAACCAGGGTCTTTCTGACTGAGGCTATCTCTCTATTCACTAGCCACATTGCTGCTTCTAGTGCTTGGTTGCATTATATAAATTAGACATGTAATTAGTTATTTGATGTCATCAAATCAAAAATAGCATTTATGTAATGTTTTCAGGTGCATAAAATGTCTTAAATATACTAATTTTATTTTACCCTCACAACAACCCCTGTGTGAGAGAGGTGCTACAATAATACCCATTTTACAGATGAGGAAACTGAGCCTTAGAGAGGTTTAAGGGACTTGCCCAGGATCCCACAGAACACAAACGCTTTTTCTCTCTTGGTCTTACAAATAGCACTAAATGCTTAAGCTCTTTAGACCTTAATTTACCCTTCTGTAGTCCTATGAAACTGTAATGAGTAGAGACACAAATGGTGAAGTAGTGCCTAGTAACAGATTCTTTTGTGCCTAAAAATTAAACTTAATGACTGGGCTATTACAACTCTAAATTTGTTTCTCAGAGAGAGAACTGTCTGACCCTGGCCTAAGGATTCCTGAATTTCTGTTGCTGAAAATCCTGCACACAATTTCAGCTTTCCCTGAATTGATCATTCAATTTCCAATGGGACTCCATGTAATCACAAATTATTGCTCTGTGAGCTGACCAGAGCATGGCCCCATAAACACTTATCAAAACATTTGTGACACTCAATACATGCAAAGGTATGAAGGTTGGAGATGGAATTTTATATATGGGGACAGCAAGTAGACCAAGTTGGCTGAAATATAGTTTATAAAGGGGAGGGGTGTGATATGTGAGTAGAGAGAAGGGGATGGATGAAGGTGATTTTGTGCAGGTAGAATGACAAGATTTGGGAAAAGACTGGATATGAGAAGTAAGGAAGTGGGAAAAGTTGATAATGATTCTCAGGTTGTGAACCTCAGATAGTCACCTAGGAAGGATGGTAATGTCAACAGAAATATAAAAGTTAGGGAAATGGGTAGGTTTGGGCAGGAAAATAATGAGTACTGCTTTGAACACATTGAGTTTAGATGAAGATGTTTATCAGGCAGTCGAAGATATGAAACCAGGAGAGAGGTGAGGGTTGATAGGTTTCAGAGTCATCTGCAAAGGGATGGTAGTCAAATTGTTAGGAACAGATGAGGTGATCAAGAAAGAGAGGAGAGAGAGAGAGAGAGAGAGAGAGAGAGAGAGAGAGAGAGAGAGAGAGAGAGAGAGAAGAAGAGAAGAGAAGAGAAGAGAAGAGAAGAGAAGAGAAGAGAAGAGAAGAGAAGAGAAGAGAAGAGAAGAGAAGAGAAGAGAAGAGAAGAGAAGAGAAGAGAAGAGAAGAACACCTAGGACAGAATTCTTGGGTGCATAGCTATAGTGGGACAAGACATGGAAGATGACCAATGTCATGAAAACCTGGAAAGGACAGATTATCTGGAAGGAGAGAGTATCTGCAGAGAGGTGAAGAAGGTGAGGACTATGAAAAGGTCATTGGATTTGTCAGTCAAGGCTTGATCATTGATAACCCTGGAGAGAGCTGTTTTAGTCGAGTGGCAGCATCTGAAGTCAGATTGCAAGGAAATGGAAGCAAAAAGTATAAACCGCCTTGTTTTTTTTTAACAGTTCATTGATGAAAAGGTAGTAAATTTTTTAGGAATTGGAGGGTCAAGACACAACTACTTGGAATTAGGGGAGAGGTAGGTATGTTTGTGGGCATCAGGGCACAGGCCATCTAGCTGCCCCCTCACTTTTCACCTGGGCTGTGGATAGGTTCTCCTGCTTCCAGATGCAGCTCTAGAATCTAGAATCTAGAATCAGGAAGCTGTTGCTGTTCAGTCATTTTTTTTCCAGTTGTATCCAGCTCTTTGTGACCCCTTTGGGGTTTTCTTGGCAAAGATACTGGGGTTGTTTGCCATTTCCTTCTCCAGCTCATTTGACAGATGAGGAAACTGAGGCAAACAGGTTGACGTGACTTGCCCTGAGTCATACAGCTAGTAAGTATCTACGGCTTGTTTTAAACTCAGGTCTTCCTGACTCCAGGCCTGGCCCTCTGTCCACTGCTGTGTGACCTTTGAAGCCTTTTACAATGTGGTTCCAGTCCCCCTTTCTAGTCCTAGTTCACATGATTTCCCTTCAGACACAGGTTCAGCCCAATGAGCCTACTTGTTTTGAGAACATGGCACTCCATTTCCAAGCTCCATGAGTTTGTACGGGCCATGCCCTATACCTGGGGCATCCAGATTTACTTTTCACCTTAGTCTCTTAGAGCCCTTAGCTTCTTTCAGGGTGCAGCTCTTAAGGAAAGCTTTCCTGGCCTTCCAAGCTGTTAGTGCTCTTTCTCATTCTCTCTTTCCTCTCTCTGTCTCTGTCTCTCCTTCCCTCTCTCCCTTCCTCCCTCCCTTGCCCTTCAAATTATCTTTTAGACACACACACATTTTGTACCCCCTCCTAGGAGAGTATAAGCACGTACCATGTATCATTTTGTCC